TGATAACAAACAGACCAATCAACATGACTATACCCTGGAATACATCCGTCCAGATGACCGCCTTCATGCCACCCTAATACATGACAGCAGAAAAAAATATTCTAAAAAATGCTTTCTTTAATATCAGTAAAATATTACAGTTTCCCTACTAATTACTGTCGTTCTACTCTAACCATGAACACTCGAGTTTGTCAATCAATTGTCAATCAGATTACGAACCAAAAAATATATAATTCGAGTTAGATGTATTGAAAGTCTGTAAGATCTTTTCAAGGAGATGAAAGAGMAAGAAAAAATATAAGTATATTTACACACACAAAAAAACTTGAGTTTTCAAGGTCAGAGAAGAAAGTCAGTAATACCCTTTGAACAAGCACAAGTTTCAATGTCTTTTAGGAAAATTCTAAGGAATCTTAGAGTTATTATTAAATTTCTAAGGAATCTTAGATTTTTCTATTGTATAAAAAACATTTTTCACAAATTTAATAAAAGGTGTTAGCAATCCTATAATTAATTAAAAATAATAATACAAAGCACTGTACATACCAGTGTTGTGTAAAAGGTACATATCAAACCAATAGATAGAATAGCTATCCACAAAGGAAACCCAGTAACTAAAACATGTATTAAAAAAACATAAGAATTATAAAAAGTTGCCTGAGGCATGAAGACAATAAAAAAAAAAAGCCAGGGTTAATAAATTTGGAATTAAAAAATACTCTGCAAAACAAAACCCCTAATCTAGAATACAATAAAGCCCCGAGGGGGAGGGGGTAATCCCATATATGGACTATACGGGGATGACCCGCTGAACAGGGTATGGTTTTTCAAGCTTCTTATCATAAACAGGGTATGCGATTTCACTCAAGTTCCAAGTTCTTCCTGAGTTTCCTGTCATATTCAGGGATTCTTGGCTGAAACTGGTTATTATGGTCGTCAAAAAACGATACGCAAGATGACATGATAATTGAAACAGGAACTCTGTGCAATAAATTATATCTTTTATCATAAACAGGGTCCACAAATTTGAGTTTTTTTTTTATAAACAGGGTACTTCTTTCAGAACCCCAGCGTAACACCCCTACCAAAATTCTAGTGGAGAACCCGACCCCCGGGAATAAAACTTGCTACACCAAGAAAGACCCAGGTGGTTTTAAGACTTGCTAGGTTAAGTCATTACTTTTAAAGTATCAAAACAAATATTTAAGAAATTGATGTTTTYCTTACCAGATTCTAATGTGAGTGCAGGCCCATACAAAACAATAGCCATGTATAAAAGCTAAGAAAAATGAAAAAGAAAAATATGCTTGTTTATTATTCTTTAGACTTTCCCCCAATTATATATCTCTGCTGAATTGTGACAGCCAAGCTCTCACAACTGTATAGCTTGCTATAAACCTTCTCCCTTCACTATAATACTAAATCCCAACAGGTGAAAATACACATGTATTAATGGCAAGTTACAGTAATTATTTGTGTACAATGACAACTAATTTGTATTAATGAATGTGTGAAAATTAAGAAAAATGAAATGTCAGCTGATAAAATTAGTGCAAAAATGACCATACCGTTTGAATGATGAATATTAAAGATGCCAGAACTTTAACACTTCTGGAAAATCGTCTTTCAAGGTACTAAAAAATAATTGTTTTATTGTTATGATTTTYGTTGTTGATAGGGAGTGAGTTAGAAATTTTTGTATTAATAATATATAGTATCACAGAAAAAAGCTATACTGCTTCCACAAAAAAAGTGCTTGAATTTCAATGGGGTATAGT